AAATTGAAATACGTTTATTGAGGTAAAATACACACAAAGGGATGAGGTAGCTCAAGCTATTCTCACCCCATTCAGTACAACGTGTTAATACATACATAGACACACATCACAAATAAACACATTACCAAACATTCTGAGAGGTAAACATATACATTTCCTCCTTCACAAGTAGTATGGTATCAGACGTACACACAAATACTTTTATGACCTATGTGTAGCCATGTTTCCGTCCAACCCGTTCTCGCACTTTCGTATAGTCAATGTTGACTTGTTAAATACGTGCATGTGTGACATGCTAAACATGCGAGTTTGCCTTGAGAAGCTTCATAGAAAGCGCCGGCCTTACCTAGCCTTCTTAGTGTGTTAAGATGAGCATCTTATTGCTTCGTGATTGCAATTACTACTTGACCTATTATAGGTATAGGTTAAGTAATAATTGTGGTTGCGAAGCGGTAAGATGCTTGTCTTAACATGCTAAGGGGGTTGGGGGGGGGTCGGTGCTTTCTATGAAGCTTTTCAAGGTGAGCTGGTGTGTTTGGTGAGTCACACATGCACGTGTTTGGTGAGTCACACATGCAGGTGTTTGGTGAGTCACACATGCAGGTGTTTGGTGAGTCACACATGCAGGTGTTTGGTGAGTCACACATGCACGTGTTTGGTGAGTCACACATGCAGGTGTTTGGTGAGTCACACATGCAGGTGTTTGGTGAGTCACACATGCAGGTGTTTGGTGAGTCACACATGCAGGTGTTTGGTGAGTCACACATGCAGGTGTTTGGTGAGTCACACATGCAGGTGTTTGGTGAGTCACACATGCAGGTGTTTGGTGAGTCACACATGCAGGTGTTTGGTGAGTCACACATGCACGTGTTTGGTGAGTCACACATGCAGGTGTTTGGTGAGTCACACATGCACGTGTTTGGTGAGTCACACATGCAGGTGTTTGGTGAGTCACACATGCACGTGTTTGGTGAGTCACACATGCATGTGTTTGGTGAGTCACACATGCAGGTGTTTGGTGAGTCACACATGCAGGTGTTTGGTGAGTCACACATGCACGTGTTTGGTGAGTCACACATGCACGTGTTGGTGAGTCACACATGCAGGTGTTTGGTGAGTCACACATGCAGGTGTTTGGTGAGTCACACATGCAGGTGTTTGGTGTGTCACACATGCAGGTGTTTGGTGAGTCACACATGCACGTGTTTGGTGAGTCACACATGCACGTGTTTGGTGAGTCACACATGCACGTGTTTGGTGAGTCACACATGCAGGTGTTTGGTGAGTCACACATGCAGGTGTTTGGTGAGTCACACATGCACGTGTTTGGTGAGTCACACATGCAGGTGTTTGGTGAGTCACACATGCATGTGTTTGGTGAGTCACACATGCAGGTGTTTGGTGAGTCACACATGCACGTGTTTGGTGAGTCAATGTTGACTGTGGGAAAGTGCGAGAACGGGTTGTTCCGTCTGGTGGGGCCAGGGAGGGGCGATTATCAGGGGAAAACGCCAAGCCATTACGAGTATAAAGCACTGGGAAAGGGTCAGGATAAGGATTTAGGATGGGACGGGGGAAGAAAGGAATGGTGCCCAACCACTTAGACGGTCGGGGATTGAACGCCGACCTTCATGACGCGAGACCGTCGCTCTACCGTCCAGTTGGAAGTGATTGGGCATGCTCGCCGCCTGAAGAAGCTGAAGGGTTCCGACATCTCCAGGACTCTTAACATCCCGGGTACATAACTTTTGAATGATAAACAATTGACACTGGAGATTGATAGCGTTGATGCTAACTATATCACACTGAGGCAGTTGTTGAGGTGGTCACTATCCAACCCACTATGATTTAAAAATAACGTCACTTTTGGCTCGTATGCGCGATATGACTAAATTTGGACGTAATTTGAAATGAAATCGACTCACAAAAGTGATGTTCTGTTCCGTTTTCTATTTGAGTCATCCGGCGTACGCGCAGAGGTTATGAGAGGACACTTTAAATTAACGTTTTTCATAACGTTTTGAAACTTTATGAGAATTTCCTGCCCACCTAACCTATCAGAGGACCCTTAACTTACTGTTGGTGAAAAAAAAAATCCCAAATTTATTTTCAATTTTTTTTCATTTTCAAATTACGTCCAAATTCGGCCATACGGACAAACGGCCAAAAGCGACGTTCTTTTTAAGAGGACAGGTTGGGACCCACTATGATAGTGACGGTGACCACCAACCTTAACGTAACAACATTGCGAAATAAGGGTAACTGCGCATGCCCATTACCAATAACTTAAGCACCGTAATGTTATTGTTTTGACTGCTGGGATTTGTACCTTTCTGGCGGGTTAAAAACAGGTCTCACAATATGTCAAGAAAATGCAACTGTTTTGACATGAAAGGTACTAACCCAAACGTACGAAAGGGAGCCGGTCGGCCGACCGGACAGCACGCTGGGCTTGTGATCCTGTGGTCCTGGGTTCGATCCCAGGCGTCGGCGAGAAACATTGGGCAGAGTTTCTTTCACCCTATGCCCCTGTTACCTAGCAGTAAAATAGGTACCTGGGTGTTAGTCAGCTATCACGGGGTGCTTCCTGGGGGTGGAGGCCTGGTCGAGGACCGGGCCGCGGGGACACTAAAAAGCCCCGAAATCATCTCCTTCCCACTTATCCCCCTCCCTCCTCCAATCTCCCTCACCCCTCCCCACTCACCCACCCCCGTCGTCTGCTAATTTCTGCTTACCCCAACCCCTTTCTTCTCGTCATCCCCTCCCGCTCCTCCTTCCCCACTTTACCCCTCTCCCCCCCCCCCAACACACGCCCCACTTAGCCACTCTTCTCTTGCTTAAAATATAATATTAAGGAGCAATGAAACTACTGTATTGGTCCTAAGGAAATAATATTTTCTGATAACGACACAATTCTTGGGGCATCTCACCCAATATTTCCCACTTGACCAGCACTGAGTCTGTGAGCATCTGATGAAGTGGGTGGGTGGGGAGGGGGTCAGTGATTAATGATATATCTGAAATTATTCAACTTACGCTTACCCCTACCAGCCTATGTCAGTCCCACACCACAGCCCATTTCACCTTCAAATCTGAGTAAGGCGAGTCCCAAACGTTTGACCTCCAGGTGTGGACAGACAGACATTCTCTCTTACTTGAACGGTTGAGGGCCACAGGGCTAACAACACTACACACCAGACATGACAGGACGGATCTCACTGAAACTTTTAAAACACTGAACAATTTGGAGGATGTTGATCTAGACAAGTTCTTCAGAAGGTCAGACGGAACACAAACAAGGAGCAAAGCTCAACAGAAAGCAGGAGATGCTTTTTCAGCCACAGGGTTATAAACCCGGGCTGAAAATATTGCTTTTATTTGGCCTTTCCGCCAAAGCAGTAAGCGCCTAAACATTGTTACAATTAAAGTCAAGCTGGATAAAATCATAAGGATCTAATGGTAAAACTTTTGACAAGCAGCCGGCTTGCTGTCCTCGTCGAGGCCACTATATGGGGAGATGGTCGCCCCTCATGTTAATTCAGGTAAAAAGAAAGAGTAAATTAAATGCTCCATGTGTACCTAAGTGTATACCAACAATTGTGGTGCAAGTGTTAGGTATAATTGTTGATGTGGGCTTAGTGTAGTAAGTGTGTTGCCAGGTGTGTGGCCAGGTGTGGTAAGTTAAAGCAGGTGTGTGGCCAGGTGTGGTAAGTTAGAGCTGGTGTGTGGCCAGGTGTGGTAAGTAAGAGCTGGTGTGTGCCAGGTGTGGTAAGTTAGAGCTGGTGTGTTGCCAGGTGTGGTAAGTTAAAGCAGGTGTGTGGCCAGGTGTGGTAAGTTAGAGCTGGTGTGTTGCCAGGTGTGGTAAGTTAAAGCAGGTGTGTGGCCAGGTGTGGTAAGTTAGAGCTGGTGTGTGGCCAGGTGTGGTAAGTTAAAGCAGGTGTGTGGCCAGGTGTGGTAAGTTAGAGCTGGTGTGTTGCCAGGTGTGGTAAGTTAAAGCAGGTGTGTGGCCAGGTGTGGTAAGTTAGAGCAGGTGTGTGCCAGGTGTGGTAAGTTAGAGCTGGTGTGTTGCCAGGTGTGGTAAGTTAGAGCAGGTGTGTGGCCAGGTGTGGTAAGTAAGAGCTGGTGTGTGGCCAGGTGTGGTAAGTAAGAGCTGGTGTGTGGCCAGGTGTGGTAAGTTAGAGCAGGTGTGTGGCCAGGTGTGGTAAGTTAGAGCTGGTGTGTGGCCAGGTGTGGTAAGTTAGAGCTGGTGTGTGGCCAGGTGTGGTAAGTTAGAGCGGGTGTGTTGCCAGGTGTGGTAAGTTAGAGCAGGTGTGTTGCCAGGTGTGGTAAGTTAGAGCTGGTGTGTTGCCAGGTGTGGTAATTAAGAGCTGGTGTGTGGCCAGGTGTGGTAAGTTAGAGCAGGTGTGTTGCCAGGTGTGGTAAGTTAGAGCAGGTGTGTTGCCAGGTGTGGTAAGTTAGAGCTGAGAGTGGTGTGTTGCCAGGTGTGGTAAGTGAGAGCTGGTGTGTTGCCTGGTGTGTGGCCAGGTGTGGTAAGTAGAGCTGGTGTGTTGCAGGTGTGGTAAGTTAGAGGTGTGTGCCAGCTGGTGTGGGGCCAGGTGTGGTAAGTAAGAGCAGGTGTGTTGCCAGATGTGTAAGTTAGAGCTGGTGTGTGCCAGGTGT